CGGATTGAATTTTTAATTTCGACCTTATGTCTTTGATACTGAGGCTAAAAATGCCTCGATTAGTATTTAGGGTCTGTCACACCACTGGCCGATAGAGGCTCAGATAGCTTAAAAATGACGTCACTGTCAGATAAGGTATTAAAATCCGATATTTCCATCACACGTTGGATTAGACAATTTACAACTTGGTGGGACAGGCCCTTAGTCCTGTCCCTACACTTCCAGTAACGTCACCCACCTATCAATGGCTGAGCGTTGACTAATCGTGCGCGTGGGTCCCTGCTAATTGCTAATGCTTTACTCACCAGTTATGGCGTAATCAATTTAACTTTGGTAATATTTGCACACAATGCGTTAAGTCTCATTCGGTAACTGACTTGCCGTTGTTACAATTTTTTTAAATATACCTGTATGTAAATACAATCTATACTAATATAATAAAGCGTAAACACACACTACTTCGTGGCGTAAAACGTCAGAAATCACAGCATAACAATACGCTTTAGGCTATACATTTTCATGCTATTAAACTTTGAGGTCAATAAATAGGATAAAATCTTCATGTGGGAAAGGAACCATAAACTACAAGCTGCCACCATTACGGAAGCAAGATTATAACGGTAACAGTAATTGTGACATTTGCAATTGAAATTTTGACAATTGTAAACAATAAAATAAAGTTTTTATAATTTCATGTGGATGAAGCCGCACGGGAGCAGCTAGTTCAATTATATTTCTGGTTACAATCAGATACTAAAATACGCTGATATTTGTTTTCTTATTCTATTCGTAAAGAGATGGATGGATTGTGTGATAGGAGATATGATCAAGAAGGGAGTGATGACTAAGATGACGGATGATAGTTATTTGGAGGACGAAAACCCGTTGCGCCGACACTACAGGAGTAGGATAAGGCAGGGGAGATGATGATTGTATTCGTACTTTTTCATATCAAATCTGACCTTAGATCAGTTTACCTGCGGATGTAAATCATAGGAAATATCTAGTTATGCAGTTTGCTGGATTAGTGTTCATCAGAATTGCATCACTGATAAAAATAATTCTCTACATAATACGAAAAGAAAATGAACTTCATTTAAGCGGGAATATGCTAAGGCAAAGCTTATCTTTGAATCGTATCATTTGGCTGGGTACGTCTTGTGGCCAAGCACTTATTAATTCATTAAAAAAAGCTAGATACGTTTCAACATTTTAATTACTAGGTCGCTGTCGTCAGGCGCTTGTTAATTTATGTGACAGTACAAAACTGACATCTCCATATTGAACGCGGGCCGTGGAGTCGAATACTGGGTCGATTACCTTGTTTGGCCGCACAAGGGGAACGACAATCCATTTATACGATTATCTTGTACACAATTGCAAAAAAAATATGCTATCATTCAAGGCTATTTTAAGTTTGTACGAAAGATTGTAATCCTATAAGTTTCGCAGACTCGATTTTGCATATTTTTATTGAAGACTAAATGCTTTTACGACCCTACCTTATGAAAAGGTAACTGGTATAGTTATGGACACTTGAATATGGGTAACTTATTCTCTGGATCTGTTTTTTATTATGTGAATCGAAGTCGACAATGACAAAACAAAAACTTTTCTTTTACTATTAGAACGCCTTTATGAATACTGGCCAAATTTAAAAGAATATAAATCGTTTTTATTGGCGGTAATAAAACTTAAAAGTCCAATACAAGTCGTAAAGTTTTTCGACTTCGGTAATCTGTCAGTTGTCTGGTTTAAGGATGTCTGTTAGCTAATTTATTGTCGTCAATTATAGAACTAGTCCAACTGAGTCAAGATTCCGATGAAATCTTAGTTCTCTAGAAATTCTCTGACATCACTTTTATTCGCATCAGGATAAATTAGACGACTCTATTAAATTCTAAAGGTTTGGAATTAAACGCTCCTATCTATTATTATTATTCGGTATGAGAGACACCGTTGCGTAAACCTGCACTCAGAGTTGCGTAATAGACACCTAAGAAGTCCTTATTGTATGTATATTACTGCAGCATGAATTTTACGATTTACCAACTAGTTAAGATCTTAGGATTCCAACAGAGTTCATGATTTTAAACAAGACTAAGTCCACAATAATTCTGAGTGTAATTATTGTATAAATGTGTTTCTAACTTCATCTGCATTTAAAATAGTCATGACATAATAAATAAAGTAGAGCTAATGAAGTAATTAGTGCTCCTTTAGCGGGTAAATGCAACCTGACCTACTTTGCATTTATAAAGACATACTATTTAAACATGTTTATTTAGTTGTAATGTAAGTTACATATAGTGGATTATACTAGCTGAGGCCACGACACCGTCCGTCGGTATAAAAACTTTAGTAGACAATGTGTTATTCCAGACTATGTTTTACGTCTATGCATTTCAGCGGATTCGTTTATTCATCCACCTAAACTTTCGTATATATAATATTGGTAACATAGCATTGAACTAAAATAAAGCGCTAATAGCCTAATGGTTTGGGGTACGGACTACCGATTGCGGTCAATGGTTCGAATCCTGCCCTTCGACTATCGCCGTGAACCATATCCTAGCACAAGCCTAGAGCTTAGTTGGAACGGTTAAAGGAAATATTAGTAAATTATCAAAAATCTACTAATTTTATTTTTTGAAAAAAAAACTAAGATAATTTGTGTGAAAGGTGGCATGGTCAAAAAGAGACAGATGACGGAAGATTAACCCGGGGACGAAAACTGTTGCATTGACCTTTCGGGAGTAGGATAAGGGGGAGATATTAAAAAAATATAGCTGTTAAAATGTTATTCTTACTATTTACCATTATTTTTTAAACATTTTAAAACGCAGCAGTTTAGAAAAACGATTTTGTTATTTTTTTTAATGAAGATACTATAAGACTTATTATGATATATTTATTTTGTTTGCTATAATAATTTCAAGGACTTTGACAATGGCCTGAATGATATCAATTGATTGAGAAATATTGTTAGAAACAAAAAATATTTCCATACAATTTTATTAATAAAGAGAAATAAATAATACGCCATAGCAATATTTACGCATAAATAAAAGTACATCTCTCTTAGTCTAACGTGGGGAAACAGAAAGAGTGGTGGAATATTTATGTGGCAAAAAGAACGTCTAAAATTTCCTTAAGTCTTCTAAATATTATCTTTATAGTACAGTAATTTCTTTGAATTTGTATAAATAAATAAATTTACCCCAAATACAATTCCCAGAATGTAAATTAAAACAATATACAAGGAAAATTATTTACTTCAACTTGACCTATAAACGTAATGACCTTGCTGTTATCATGTAATGTGTCATATTATATTTTTAGTTTAGTTGCAAATTATGCAGATAAAGGTTGCACCGCACACAACCTTTGTTGGTATAAGGGTTGTCGGGCATATAACAACGTCTAGTCCACCCTGCAGCTCTGCCACTCCCGATCGCCATAGCGTTCACTGGATGCCGCGTCTTTGAGTTTTTTTCTATAATTGACCTTTCCGTTTGTTTGTTTGATATATTATTGTAAATTAATCACAATGATTAAGTGATTGATAAATTAAATTGTCTAAAAATCATATGTGTATAAGTAATATACAAATACAACAAATAAGGCATAAAAGAAATTTACAGTTATTGTTTCATGTTTTTTTTTTTATCAATGATTATTTCTTTTACCTTATGTAGTTTCCCAGCTACATTTAACAATTAGTTTGTATTTTTGGTTAGATAGCTTCATGAAATGCGTTTCCAAAATTAACTTTAAAACGTTAGTAAATCTAACACTGATGGATGATGGAAATGGAAACTACAGCAAAATAGCATATATCTAATAATACTTTACTGAAGATTAAGATCGTTTGGTTTAACATCCAGGATCTAGGATGTTTGATACATTCAGAATCTAACGTTTATTTAGTGTCCTTTAAAATGTAACCACCAACTTAATTTAGCTTAATTATACTATCACTTCATAGTACTTTAAGTAATAGCTGCAAGTACATAGAATCTTCCATTCACGGACAGGATTTTTTTAATTTTAAATCCAGCGAAATATGAATTACATCTCGTGGCTCGCGTCGCGTCGGGCTCTCAGCTCTCTGCTTAATAAAATACACCTTTCATGATTTTTGTTTAATTAAAAACGTTGCTACGGTCTTTCATACATTTTTTTTAATATCATAAAACATAGCCGAAGCAAAGAGTTGCATAAGAAGTGTATATACGCTTTTAAATAACACTTGATTCCTTCGGCCAACGGTCAAATAGCAAGACTGGAATATGAAAAAAGTATGAACAGATATGCATTTGTTCTATTTCAGCGTTTTTGTAACGCGAGTTATAAAGCGCTCGTGTGAATGGGGACTGACTTTATGGTTATTGTCTGGACTAGTGTGACTTGATATATGTTGTTTCTCTTTTTTTATTTAAAGAGTATGTGAGATGACAATAGGAGACAATACAAGGTCACGTCATTGATTTATGATTTTTTGATTGGTTGTTGTATGACAAATTAATAATAAACTATCTGTTGATTTTAATGCAATATTCAAGTTGATCATTATTTTTATTAAAATGTTATCGAGTGTCGCAGAGGTATGAAACCTTCACCCTACTCACCTCATCTTTGGTAAACAAGATGTTTTATGATTTAACGTTGGTTTCTACTGTCTTATATTTGTAATATTCTGAACATGAACATATTTTCAATTCTCTCAAACAAAATTTGTTTTTCAAGAAAAGACAAATATTTCCACATATCTAATCTTTAACTCATATCGAAGAAATTCCAAAGCGATATATTATCGAAAAGCTTAACCTGACAATAACTAAATTAAATATTCGAACTAAAATAGTTCGTAAAACATTTTTTTCTACCCACAACATACCACAAGCTTCCATTCAAGCCTACGAATTCGCACGGATCACAAACACAAGCGTAAACACGCACACACCGGTGACTCAAGCCAGTTTGACGTTTCTCGTTATTCGAGTCAGTTGGCCGAGGCACGGCGTCGCGGTATAATCGCTCGTCGCCATCTTGTTTTATTTAGTGCGGGTTTAAAAAACAAAAGTATACGTGTACTGCTTGTGTTGTGTTCTGTGCTTGTAAAGAGGTTCGATTGAATCTTACGTTAATCTACAGTAGGATTTGGGTATTTTCAACATTATTTTTAAGGTTATAAACGTAGTGAATGTTTTTTCACTCTAACGTATATGGCGCGAAATAACCGTAATATTTGAAGTGATGTAATTCTTTTCGGTTTTTAAACTAAATAACGACAAATTTAAAGTTTTAACGGTTTTTATGACGCTAAAAGATTAACAGAGTTAAATGGTAGGTGACTTAGTAATCCAAGGCTTTAAACACTCGATTGTATAAAATCTAGATTCGTAATAGGTGAAGGTAAGGCCAAGATATTTGTTTACTTGTATTGAGCTAAGCAAATAATCTATTTAAAACTTGTTTTAATTCTGATATGAATTTAATTAACTTATGAAAAACAACGATTTACCTGTTTGTCACATAATTAAATAATATCGTTCGTTGAATTAATCGAGTTTCTTAGTTTATTATGCATTTAGTTTGATAAATATTGTTTAGATAACGTGTTATTTATGCAGTTTCGTTATCATTCGGAAATAGTCGAGGTATTTGGGTTACGGTCAACGCTCCCGCGAAATAGGTTATGTTTAAAAGATTTCAACGCAGTTGACATTTTGAATTTCGTAAGAATTGGCTTCGAAAGTTAATTTCTAGATAGTATAGTGGATTAGTAAATTGTATTATTTCTATATTTAATGAAAAAAATAAACAAAAGTACCAGTAGTAAGCTAATTTATTTTATTCTTAAAGAGACGACGTTACGACTTAATTTATTAATGCAAATGTAGACGAAGTGTTGTCTTAAGTTACCATTAAGAGTCTGAGTACGGCAGTTCTATTCCCATGTTCTTTTAGATTTAAGGAATGCTGTAAGACATACAAGCGTTGTTTGAATGCGCGCATTTAAGTTGCCATTTTGTTAAACAAACACGGATGCCGTCACCGGCGTGGCTCGCTTTTTTCATAATATTTACCAACCGCACAGTTGACTTCGTGATTTATCAATATTTATTTACTATTGGAATATATTAAAAGTATTCAATGTTGTTTCAATGTGATATTTCATTTAACTATCTGGTTCCCGAAGTTGTCTGTGCAGAAAAAAAAATACTAATTACATAAATGCGAAAGGTTTAGATGTTAGAGTTTATTTTTACTGGTACACGGATCTCGATAGTATCCCAATCCGGTAATAACGAAGTAACGGCCAGAGCCGAGGCTCCTGAGGGAGCCCTCAAGCCTAGTTACTCATCTGCGGTCGGCGACCTAAAGCCCGGTGAATCTGTAAATGCCTCTTCAAGGCAAACAGTGACAACTCAGTCACAAAAAAATATCGATCGGATATACAAATATGGTAAAAAAGCCAGAGAGTAAAAATTTTACTAGACAAAAGAATAAGGTAAAAGGTCTTTGGGATAACAATACGTAGTATGAACTGTAATCTGTCTGTACGTTATGTAAACAGCATGTAAGTTTGTTCAGCGAAGATAATAGAATTCCTGGAAGGTGTGACGTACACTCTGGATGACGAATATGCTTCTATACTAATATAGTAAAGAGGAACGTCATTTTGTATGAACGAACAAACTTAAAATCTATCAGACATATAACAATAAATTCTTCACTAATAAAAACCTTTATCATCTTACTAATATTATAAATGCGAAAGTTTAGATGGATGGATGGATGGATGGATGTTTGTTAGCGTTTGTAGCCTAAACGCCTGAACGGATTTCGACGGAATTTCGCATAGTGAAGAGGATAATCTAGACACATAGGCTTGCATTTTTTTTTGCTTCCGCGCGAAGACGAGACTTTTATTTTTAACGACTAAGAGCTAACGACAAAACTACTATACGGATTAAAAAATCTTTCACCATTAGAGTGCAACATTATCCCTGAATAAAATAGGCTGTTTTTATAAAAATGTCTCCATTCAAATGAAGCCGGGACATACCACTAGTATATACAATTGTGTGTCATTATATCAAGTGTACTCCAATAAGTTTTAAAAATCCATCCAAACGTGAACCGTTTCCAAGAAGGTCCTGAACCGATCTCATGTCCTTGTTCATCATTTAACAAACGAATGAAACAAAACATTTAACATTCCATAACATGTTAGATAAAGATAGAAAACGTGATATATTTTTCTTTATAAAAATACAGATATATTCCTCACAATATAACTGAGTCACTGATAACGTCATTACGGTATATTTACTATATAGTTCGAAATACAACTTTATGGACATAGTATTAGAGACTGTGATATTTTACTTCGACATTACTAAATTATAAGGTAAATTTACTTGATAGTGCTAAGTTTTGCGGTCTCGATATTCGTAACAATGTACGTATTGAATTAGACTTATATTTTAACGCTAATTTCAGATTTGTAGGTTTGTGTCGGATTATTTCAAAAACTAGATCGATATCAAAAATTCTTTCAACGTTACAAAAACTTAATCCCCGTCGAGTCAAACGGCTTAATGATTATTTTCATTCATTTTTTCTGTTTTAATTTTTTAAATTCTTTTTAAATGCAGTACAATAAGGCTCAGATAACGCGGCTCATGTAAATGTAGGTAAATGGATGCTACGATAATATTTACCCGCTTACTGTCAATACACTTAGGGTTGCCACATGTTACAAATATTATCAATGAGAAATTTCTAATAGTAATTGTTGTTTCTAATAGTAATTTCTAATAGTAAACTCAAAAACACTTAAACAATCTAAAAGAATAAAATTTAATTAGTCTGATATAATTCAAGTTATGATATTTAGGGTCTGTCCTACCAAATTGTAAATTGTCTGATACCTAACGTGTAAATTATCGGATTTGTTCCCTATCTGACAGTGACGTCATATTTAAGCTATCTGAGCCTCTATCAGCCAGTGGTGGGACAGGCCCTTAGGATTCTTAATTAGTAATCTGAAAATATTCAGCTTTTAATATTAGAAAAATTATCGTTGAGATTATCCTAGTTTACATTGTATGTATTTGATTATATTTCTAGGTACTAGATCCGGTATTCTCTAGTTTATTTGTGGCAACCCTAGGGACGTACTTTCTTAGCTGCTGGCTTTACAGCGAGGGTGACGTACGCGTCGATTGTGGAGGTAAAAGGTGACACAGATTACACTCTAATTGAAATGGCTGCTCCCCTGTGTACATCATTATTTTTTTTACACAAAGATTTAAATTATAGTAATGTTAGTTTGATTGAAAACACGGTTATCGAAAATAATAGTCATTCAATCAAATTAAATTAATGGTGTAATTTTTAGAACTATGGTCTCGGCAGTGCCCCGTTCGTACTGAGAATACTTATGAAGCATCTTCGAAATTTAACGTTTGTTACGTGAGAAATATTAAAAGTTTGTTCTTTTATTCTGTATTTGTACTATTGACCATAGATCTATGAATAATAGAAGTGGTAATCAAATGCATAAATTCAATATTAGTCGGATATCCTTTAGTGGGCTGTCTAATTGTAAGGCAAAACACATTGACAATACGTCGGGTATATGACAAGTATGGAAATCTATACTAATACCCGTATTATAAAGAGGAAAGATTTGTATTTTTGTATGTATTGGAATAACTCAAAAACTACTGGGCCGATTTCAAAAATTCTTTTACCATTAGAAAGGTTCTTAATCTGTGAGTAACATAAACTATATGTTTCATTATTTTTTTTTTAATTTAACGGGTACGAAGTAGCGAACAACAGCGAGTTATGTATAGATGAAGTTAAGATTCAAGTGAAAAAATAAGTCGATCAGCGAAAAAACATTTCAAGTAAAATTTTTTTCTCGTTTTCAACTTAATAGTCTTCCTTTAAAATTAATAATTAAATTTCAAGTATTTAAAATTTCCACAACGGAGTCGCGGGCGAAAGCTAGTTATTAATATCTTCAACCTCACGTTACATTTACCGTATTCGATTGTAGAATTCTGATCAATTACAAGTCACGGTGTCAATCTGACATGCAAACTGGTCCAGTTACATTGGCACGTACTTTCCGTTAGTCCACAGCATTACTAATTGTTATACGGAAAGGTCAGTTGTACTACGGTTTAACAAATTGAAGAGTGATTTTGTGTTACCGTAGAACTCCATTGCTGTACACTTGTATTGTCATGCATTCTCTTAGAATAAACAAAGACTTCTATTGAACACTTCGGGTACATTATGAATTTGCCTAAGAATATCTCTCATTATGCCTATATGCATGTCAAGTTAGGAGATAACAACTTTCTGCCTTGCACAGTCGTGGAAATTTTTTGTAATAGTCTGTCCTCGGCAGTATTTCCAAACCTCCATAATTTAGGGTTCTTCAAGAAGTAAGCATGTCTTCTTAAAGGCCGGCAACTCATCTGCAGTTCCTCTGGTATAAATCACCTCGGTATTCCCGCTGATTGTTTGTCTCCTTGTCTTATAAGAAAATGTAAAATTTCCACAACGTAACAGAGGTACAGTTACTTGATTTTTTATTTTCAATTTATTACCAGCATTTATTAATTGCCAGTATAAAATTCTAAGAATCGTTAGTTTTGCGTGACAAATATTTCTCATTGATCACATCGAGTCGACTAATCAAAACATCGATATATTACATTAGTTAGAGACGAGATCGCACTGTCCCGTTAGCAACCGGTCTGGGGCATTCCTGGCGTGCTCCGCCTCGTACCCAACTCATTGTTACTAATGAATCATATGTTGGACATGAATTCATAAAAGTGTTGCCAACAGTAAATCAACAACTGATTGCAGTGTCAATTATAAATTAATTTTTCTCCCCGTTTGATTTTTAAGCTTTTTTGTGGCTTATTGTTACTGTTAAAAAGAAAATTAGTACCGCGCCATAGAATTGGCGCAACACTAGATTGTTGGCATAAACGTCACATCTCTAACTGACAGCTGTCAATGTCATTAGACGATTTAGATTGGCGCGCGATCCTGAGTCCTGACGAGAAGTGTTGCTCTGAGTTTTAAACA